ATGATCATAGTAAATATTCTTTTTTCTTAAATCATTACTTGACAGAATTAAAATTTGGGGCTAGGCACAGTGGCTCATGCTTGTAATTCCCAGCACTTTGGGAGGCCAAGGCGGGTGGACCACCTGAGGTCAGGAGTTTGAGACCACCCTGGCCAACATGGCAAAACCCTGTCTCTACTAAAAAAACAAAATTAGCTGGGTGTGGTGGCTGGTGCCTATATTCCCAGCTACTGGGGAGGCTGAGGCAGGAGAACTGCTGGAACCCGGGAGGCGGAGACTGCAGTGAGCCGGGACCGCACCAAACTCCAGCCGGGGCAACAAAGTGAGACTCCATCTAAAAAATAAGAAAATAAACAAAAAACAAATGAATTAATTAAAATTTGGCAGCTCTGAGTCTGTTCCCAAAACGTAAGGCATGATAGCCTGGTGATGTGCACGTGGGCATGCAGCCTGCTCTTCTCTCTGCTTTTTTTTTTTTTGAGACGGAGTTTCGCTCTTGTTACCCAGGCTGGAGTGCAACGGTGTGATCTCGGCTCACCGCAACCTCCGCCTCCTGGGTTCAGGCAATTCTCCTGCCTCAGCCTCCTGAGTAGCTGGGATTACAGGCATGCTGCCACCATGCCCAGCTAATTTTTTGTATTTTCAGTAGAGACGGGGTTTCACCATGTTGACCAGGATGGTCTCCATCTCTCGACCTCGTGATCCACCCGCCTCGGCCTCCCAAAGTGCTGAGATTATAGGCGTGAGCCACCGCTGCCCGGCCTTCTCTCTGCTTTTGAATGTTTGAAACTATTCACTTACATGTGTGTTTTAAAAATAATTTACTTTTAATTTTTGTGGGTACATAGCAGGTATATATATTCACGGGGTTGTTTTTTAAAAAAGTCTAGATGGGGCCGGGTGTGGTGGCTCACGCCTGTAATCCTAGCACTTTGGGAGGCCGAGGTGGGTGGATCACCTGAGGTCAGGAGTTCAAGACCAGCCTGGCCATCAGGGTGAAACCCCATCTTAAAAAAAAAATATATATATATATATATATATACACACACACACACACACATTTATCCATATATATATATAAAGTCTAGATGGATTGAAAAGTTAAATGATAATATTAAACATCGAACTACAAAAGGATTAGGAGGAAAGACAGAAGGTGGTGATCTGTGAAATCCAGAAGTTTTAGGATAGAGATGTCAATCTGTGCAGAATGCAAAGCTTCTAAGTCATTCCTCTGCTTAAAGCCTGTCAGTAGCTCCCCATGTCTCTCAGGACACAAGTTGAGCGCAGATTCCTCCTCCTCCAGGAAGTCCTCCCTGACTTCAACCTTAGGTTAGAAGCAAACCATAATTGGAGACCTTAGGGGTCCACTTACCATGGGCAAGGTATTATATTATTTCATTATAATGCGTACGGCCCTGTGACCCACCCCAGAGTCAGGGATGGAGGACCCTGGTGCAGATACTGGCAAATCCTTTGATGATGAGTATAGGGATGCAAGGGTTGGTGGGGGGCTGGGCCCTCCTTGGGCTCCCCAGCAAGGAAGGATGGATGGGAGCCCAACCCTGGCTGCTACCTCCTGCTCGTGACTCAGCCTCCCTGTCAGGCACCAGCCAGTCCCAGGGCTCTTAGTTTGGCTCTTCCCTGGGCTCCTTAGTCCTGGCTCCGAGCCGTCCCTCTGGCCCTGTGCTACCCCTGGTGCTCTCTGCTCTTGCTCCCAGCTGTCCTTTCCAGAGTATAGCCACCCTTCTCCTGCCCGGAAGCTTTCCTTGGCTCCCATGGTCTGAGCATAAACCCAGGTTCCTCCGCCTGCTTCCAAAGCCTCCATGACTCCGTCTGGACCTGCTTCTGTGCTCTTGCCCAGGTCGGAGACTGCCCCCGGCTGCTTGCCATGGGGTGTGTTCCTTCCACTGTGCTGCCTCAGCCCCTCCTCCTGGCATGCCCACTCCTGCCCTGCCCACGAGATCGGCCTGTGTGTCCCCTCCCTAACCCGGCACCGACCACACCTCCCAGGCTGGCTTCTGTCTTGACCATTTCCTCCTCACCTCTGAGCAGCAGGATCAAGGTGAGAAACGCCTGCTCTGTAGCCACCCCAGAAGCACAGGACCCTCCACGGCGCAGGCACAGACTGCTAGGTACGCTTGTCCCTCTGTATCCGTGGGGGACTGCTTCTGGGACCCCCAAGGATTCTCAAGTCCCTTACATAAAATGGCTTAGTACAGTTCACAACAGAGATGTGTTCTGAGAAATGAATCGCTAGGCAATTTCATCCTTTGCAAACATCATAGGTGCACTTAGCACAAACCTAGATGGTCTAGTCTACTACACGCCTGGGCTCTGTGGGATCGCCTACAGCTCCTAGGCTATATATCCATACAGCATGTTACTGTGCTAAATACTGGAAGCAGCTGTGACACAATGGTAAATATTTGTGTATCTAAACATAGAAAATGTCCAGTATGGCCAGGTGCAGTGGCTCACGCCTGTAATCCCCGCACTTTGGGAGGCCGGGGTGGGCAGATCACCTGAGGTCAGCAGTTCAAGACCAGCTTGACCAACATGGCAAAGCCCCGTCTCTACTAAAAATACAAAAATTAGTGGGGCGTAGTGGCATGCGCCTATAATCCCAGCTACTTGGGAGGCTGAGATAGGGAGAAAGGCTGGAACCCAGGAGGCAAAGGTTGCAGTGAGTCGAGATGGCGCCATTGCACTCCAGCCTGGGCAACAGATTCCGTCTCAAAAAAAAAAAAAAAAAAGGTCCAGTGCAAATCTTCTGGCTGGGCATGGTGGCTCAAGCCTGTAATCCTCCCAGCACTTTGGGAGGCCGAGGCGGTCGGATCATGAGGTCAAGAGATCAAGACCATCCTGGCCAACATGGTGAAACCCTGTCTCTACTAAAAATACAAAAATTAGCTGGGCGTGGTGGTGTGTGCCTGTAGTCCCAGCTACTCAGGAGGCTAAGGCAGGAGAATTGCTTGAACCCGGAAGGCGGAGGTTGTAGTGAGCCAAGATTGTGCCATTGCACTCCAGCCTGGCTCCTGGCAACAGAGTGAGACTCTGTCTCAAAAAAAAAAAAAAAAAAAAAAACACAAACTTCTGAGACCACTGTCTTATATGTGGTCCATCACTGACGGAAACATTGTTACATGGCATATGACTGTATTTGCATGTACACATTCTCCCACTTATTATTTTTTTTGAGATGGAGTTTCAGTTCAGTTGCACAGGCTGGAGTGCAATGACATGACCTTGGCTCACTGCAACCTCTGCCTCTTGGTCAAATGATTCTCCTGCTTCAGCCCCCTGAGTAGATGGGATTACAGGTGCATGCCACCATGCCCAGCTAATTTTGTATTTTTAGTAGAGATGGGGTTTCTCCATGTTCGTCAGGCTGATCTTGAACTCCTAATTTCACGTGTCTGCCCACCTCTGCCTTCCAAAGTGGTGGGATTACAGGCGTGAGCCACGGCAACAGGCTTTTTTTTTTTTTTTCTTCAATGAGACAGGGTCTCACTAAATTGCCCAGGCTGGAGTGAGTGGCATAATCATGGCTTCACTGCAGCCTCAAAATCCTGGGCTCAAGTGACCCTCCCACCTCCCAGGTAGCTGGGACCACAGGTGTGTGCCACCATACCCAGCTAATTTTTTTTTTCTATAGAGATGGGGTGGTGGTCTCATCATTTTGTTTAGGTAGGTCTTGAACTCCCTGCCTCGACGGATCCTGCCACCTTGGCCTCCCAAAGTGCTGGAATTATAGGCGTGAGCCACTGCACTCGACCACCTCCTATATACTTTAGATTACTTATACCACCATACAACGTAAATGTCATGTAAATAGTTGTTCTCTCTGCGTGTGTGTGTGTGTGTGTGTGTGTGTTTTGAGTTGGTTGTTTCGGTCTTGTTGCCCAGGTTGGAGTGCATCTGGACTCACTGAAACCTTTGCCTCCTAGGTTCAAGCGATTCTCCTTCCTCAGCCTCGAGAGTAGCTGGGATTACAGGCGTTCACCACCACGCCTGGCTAACTTTTGTATTTTTAGTTGAGAACGTGTTTCGCCTTCTTGGCCAGGCTGGTCTTGAAATCCTGACCTCAGGTGATCTGCCCGGCTTGGCCTCCCAAACTGCTGGGATTACAGGCGTGAGACACCGCGACCGGCCCTCGTGTGGATTTTCATGGGACTCTTGAGAGGCGTCTTGAATCCATTTTGGAATAAGGCAGGTTATTAGCATGGGGCCTATCTATGAGCTGTCTTGGTGTCCCAGGCCGGGTCTTGGGACAGGGGTCCTGATGCCTGGGACCTCGGTCCTCCCTGGGAAGCACAAAGATGGCGGGGGACAGGGAGCTGGGGGAGCATTTAGAAGCTCCTGTGCACAGGGAAACCCTGTCTCTACAAAAAATTAAAAAATTAGCGGGGCCTAGTGGTGCGTGCCTGTGGTCCCAGTTACTCCGCAGGCTGAGGTGGGAGGATCGCTTGAGCCCAGGAGGTGGAGGCTGCAGTGAGTCACGATCATGCCACTGCACTCAAGCTTGGACAAGAGCAAGACCTTGTCTCAAAAGAGGATTCCAGGCCAGGCACGGTGGCTCACCCCTGTAATCCCTGCACTTTGGGAGGCTGAGGTGGGCGGATCACCTGAGGTCAGGAGTTCGAGATCAGACCAGCCTGGCCAACATGGCTAAACCCGGACTCTATCATAAATACAAAAATTAGCCAGGCATGGTGGTGGGCGCCTGTAATCCCAGCTACTCGGGAGGCCGAGACAGGAGAATTTCCTGAACCCGGGAGTCGGAGGTTGCAGTGACAAAACAAAATCCTTAAGTTCTTTTCTAAATCCTTTCTGCATTTGTCCTGGCGATAGGTCGTAGATAGGGAAATTCAGCGACCCCTCGCCTTGACCTCGCTTCCAGTACAGTCACCTCTTTCGAGGAAAGAGGGCGAGACAGGAGAGCCCCCTGATAAAATGTCACCGTCGACAACGCGGGTATCGATCTTGCAACCACTCACATGCTAACCGAACGCTTCGCAGCTCAAGCTAACTCCCGGGTCCGGCTCAGCTTCCGCAGCCGTCGCGCATTGTGGCTCACGTCATCACCGGTGTCCCCCGTCGCCTCCGCCCAGTCCGGCCAGCTCACCATCCCATTGGCTCCCTCGCGGCTCCGGCTCCACGGCCATGATTGGTTTAGCTCCATTTAGTTTTAAAAAGCACTGGCCACTCGGATTGGTGGTCTGAAGAGTCCGTCAAGCGGAGGCCCTGCTGTTGCTACAGCGTAGGGGGACCCAGCCAGGTTTCTCTCGGTTTCTGATTTGTTTCTCCGGCTCCGGGGTCCTAGAGGTTCCGGATCCGTCAAGTCCATGGGAAAAGAATGCGCCCCTCGAGCTTGACTGACGAGGTTTGCGAGCCAATCGGAATGTATTCGAGGGAGCCACTAGGCGATCCAATAGGTGGTAGGGGGCGGGAGAGAGGGGCCAATGAGGCTGGAGCTGGGGGCGGGGACAGGGCTGCGATTGGCTGCGAGGCGGCCAGAGGGAGGGCAGGGGGGACTCAAGGCCTGCTTGATACGTCCGCCATTTTGGGCGCTTCGCTGATGGTGTCGGTGAGCGCGTTTCCCGCCTGAGCACAACTAGCGGCGGGTCGTGGGCACCTCCAGGTAATAGGGGTGGGGGAGGCGGCGGAGCAGGCCGTGGCGCTGGGTGCGCGTGACTCGCGGGCAGGCGCGGGGCCTCTCCTCCTGGGCCTCGGCGGCGCGGGGAGGGAGCGTCCCGGCCCCTCTCCCCTCCCCCCCCGGAATTCGCCGCTCCGCGGGCCCGGGAGGCGCGGCGCCGAGTCCTTCCCGGCCGCTCCTCGCCCGCTCCTGTCAGCCCGGGGCCCCGCCGGGCCGGGCGCCGGGGACGGGACGCGACCTAGGCGGCGAAGTTTGCGCCGCGTTCGCGTTCGCGTTCGCGGCCTTACGTGGCGAGCTGGCGGACCGGCGAGGCGCGCCCCTAACCCGGCTCTGGCTCCAGCCTTCCCGCCCGCCCGCCGCGTCGCCCACCGCCCGGCCCGCGTCCGGTTTCCGCTCCCGCTGGGCATCCCGGCCCCGGGCTCCCAGACGACTCCTCCCGGGCCGGGGGCCGTGGGGAGCGCGTCAAGTTGAGGCAGCAACTCGCCGTCCAGAGTCGCGAAGGCTGTTTATTGTTGGACTCCGCTCTCCGGGAAACAAGTTTTGTGGGTTTCTGTTAATTCGCCGCAGAGTCATCGGGATCCACACCAGCCAGTGCCGAGGCTCCCAGTGCCCTTCCCCGCGGCTTTTTCGCTCCAGTGCGGTCGCTGGGCTGGAGACAGTCTCCGATGCCTCCCTGGTGTATTTGAGCCGGGGGGTGGTCCTTCTTGTGACTTGAAGTCCCTCCCTCTTAAAGAAGCCCATTCACTGTTAACTTGGAGGTCTTTCCTGTTGAGGTCCTGCTGGCTGTGATCACAGTTTGGACTTTATTGTAGGTGGACGGGATGGGTCTTTGGATGCGCCTCCGTTGCCCTGACGTTTCAACCGCATGACTTAATGTCAGTTTCCTGGTCCTTAACGTTGTCTCTGTGGGGCTTTGGGTCTGTTTTGATTTAGGGGAGGGGGTGCTTGATAGGCGTTCACTTTCATCCTCGCGGCACTTGTTGACAGGGTGGTGTCCTACTTGATGAATAAGACGTTGATTTTGATTTTGTCCTCAAGGTCATGTTGCAGATAGGCTTCAAGGGGGAAAGGGACTCCAGAGTTCCAACCATCGAAATGCGCCTCAAGTAGCAACGGTGTAAGACCCAGTTAGTGGTGGTGTTTGGGTTTTCCTCACTGTGGAGTGGAGTCACGTCTTGGCCTGACCACTTTTTAGCTCTGTGACCTTGGACAAGTTACCCAGCCTTTTTTTTTTTTTTTTTTTTTCCTCTGTAGTATGGGAATAATAAGAAGTGTCTCAGCCATAAGTTTGTCAGGACAGATGCCTTAATACGTGTAAAGCAGCTAGAATCATCTCAGCGGCTGATTAGTAGTTAGGCTAATTAATGGCTATTATTATTAATTTAAATTTGGTTTTTAAATCTGTAGGTACTGTTGGGAAGTCAGATGAGCGTTTAAGCCTTGACTCCTGGTAACTGTCTTTAGAAAGCCCTGTGTAAGAGTCAGTTGGGCTGGACCGGGTGCAGTGGCTCACGCCTGTAATCCCAGCACTTTGGGAGGCGGAGGCAGGCAGATCACCAGGTCAAGGGATGGAGACCATCCTGGCCAACATGGTGAAACCCCGTCTCTACTAAAAATACAAAAATTAGCTGGGGTGTGGTTGTGTGTGCCTGTAGTCCAAGCTACTGTGGAGGCCGAGGCAGGAGAATCTTTGGAACCCGGGAGGCGGAGGTTACAGTGAGCGGAGATTGTGCCACTGCGCTCCAGCCTGGTGACAGAGCGAGACTCGGTCTCAAGAAATTTAAAAAAAAAAAAAAAAAAAAAAGGGGGTGGTTCAGTTGGGCTGAAGAAGTGAACTAGAAGTTCTAACAATTTTTTCAGGATAGGGCTTTTGAACATTCATTCCTTAAGTCATTAATTACTGGAGTAGTAGCACCTCAGAATGTTTAAAGAGGTGGTTAAATACAGAAAAGCCCATCACAAGCTTAAGTTGACCTCTGTTCCTCATGTGCTTTTGCGTATTAGTTTCTGGTGACTGGCCCCCAAATGAGTAGTAATCAGGTTTTCTTAGTGTACTCCTGGTTGTTACTGAAGACTGTAAGGGTACTGTGTATTGCAGTATTCTTCAGCAGAGATAGTTTGGGAAATAGCTGTTATCCTGGAGGGATCCTTTGGAAGGTATTCTCCATTTCAGCATGTCTGGTCAAGGAGTCTGGAACATTTAACAAAATGCAATCCGCTCAGGCAGAAATAAACTCACAGTCCTTTAACACTTGCCTAGTGCTCTTCTCCATGGTACTCAAAACCGTGCATGCCCTTCTGCTGGTATTGCTGTGTTTACTTGGGATTTGGTTTGCTGTATTGGGGATAAATGTGTTTTGATGGATTCAGTCTTAAGTAGAGATCAGTGTCTTGCTGGTGGAACTTACTCAAGGATAGGAAGAAGATTGTTTTGGGTTTAGAAGTCTAGCTTTTGTGTAAAGTACTGTATAGCAAAGTAAAGTAAACCAAAAAAAAGTGCTAGTTTCAGTGAGCTAATTGAGAATTTGAGAATCAGACGATAGCTGAGCAAGAAATGAATAGACGTAACATTGACAGCATGAGGTTGCTTAGCTTTGTAAGATAAGGCTTCGGCCAGGCACGGTTATCCCATCACTTTGGGAGGTCAAGGTGGGCAGATCACCTAAGGTCAGGAGTTCGAGACCAGCCAGGCCAACATGGTGAAACCCTGTCTCTACTTAAAATACAAAAATTAGCTGGGCATTGTGGTGCGCGGCTGTAATCCCAGCTACTTGGGAGGCTGAGGCAGGAGAATCGCTTGAACCTGGGAGGCGGATGTTGCAGTGAGCCCAGATCTCACCACTGTACTCTAGCTTGGGAGACAGAGCAAGAGTCCATCTCAAAAAAAAAAAAAAAAAGATTTTGCATCTATTTGGTACAGAGATAGTGTGCTTATTACAAATAAATGTCTCCCTAAAACAAGTGTCACTTCGGTATTCACTTTGTTTCTGTGATAATTTTCTTCTTCTAGTTCTGTATTTTCAGTATTTGAGAGGCAGCCTGTGTGCTCTGTGTGTGTGTGTGTGTGTGTGTGTGTGTGTAAAATTATACAGTATTTTACTAAGTAAGAATAAATGATAGTGAAAATAAAGCTCTTCTATGTGCTCAACTAAAACTCAGCATTGACTTGGTCCTCAGAAGTCATGATCTGCACCCCAGTATGGGCTGGGTAGTGTTAGCCCAGTACTCGGTGGCTAACAGAAAAAGTGGCTAGGAAAAAAAAGGCTGTACTGAAGAAAAGACCTGGCCTCTTGGCTTAAACAGCTTTCATATTTCTTTCCTTTCTTAACTTTAAATAATTGTTTTTGGTTTACTCTACATCAAGGGTTCTGAATTGGGGTGATTTCCCCCCACCCCCAGGAAACATAATTTCAGTGTCTGGACACATTTTTGCTGTCACACCTCTGGGAGTGTGCAGTGTGCTTCTAGAGGGTAGAGACCAAGGATGCTGCTAAATATCCTACAGTGTCCAGCATGGCCGCCTCGTCCGCCAACAAAATTGTCCAGTTCCAAATAGCAGCACTGCCGAGGTTGAGGAATCTTGCGCTAGATAGACGTGACTGGCCTGCATTAGAGTAATTAGAGATTCTTGAAGACCATGGTTGTGGGACTCCACCTCTGGAATTTTGTGGTGGGATTGAGAATCTTTTTTTAAGAGGCTTCCCAAACAATACTGAAGTGCAGCTGGATTTTGGAACCACTGTTCTAGACCACAGGTTTACGTCTCTGTGAGTTAAGGTTTCCTTTGGGTGATCTGTGAACTTGCTCTTTGCAGTACCTAGATCCTCACTTGGAGATTATTTAGTAGTGGGGAGAGATGGTATACTTACACCACTTTTCAGGTGCCTGAAGACTGAACTTTAGAAGCACTGTTAAATAAATTCAATTTCATAAAACACCTTAGGAAATTTGTTTTCTTAACCTAATGAAAATACATTACCATATTGTGCTGTGAAACTCAAAAAATGCTAGGTATTTAGAGTTTGCTTCTGTGCTGAATCATCTTGCACTACTGGAATCTTTGAGTTTTGTGTCTTTTGCCCTCTTCTTGTCGGACAGTGGTCAGGTCTCTTTTTAGATGCCAGTTTCAACTTTTTAAAACTTACGTTTTGTTTTTGTTTTTGAGTCAGTCTTACTGTGTTGCCCAGGCTGGAGTGCAGTGGCGTGATCTTGGCCTACTGCAGCCTCCACCTCCTGGGTTCAAGCAATTCTCCTGCCTTAGCCTCCTGAGTAGCTGGGACTACCTGTGTGTGTGCCACCACACCAGCTCATTTTTGTATTTTTAGTAGATAGCGGATTTCACCATGTTGGCCAGGCTGGTCTGAACTCCTGACCTCAATTGATCTGCCTGCCTCAGCCACCCAAAGGGCTTGGATTACAGATGTGAGCCATACTGTGCCCAGCTTTTTTGTTTTGTTTTAATAAAGATCTACTCCCAGAGAATTAGCTGTAT